GTTGTTTGGCAGGTCCGGGCTGGATTCAAACCTGCCACCTTAGGTGTATGTGGCTGGCACCTCAGCCACTTAAGCCACAGGCGCCGAGCCCCACAGAATACTTCTAAATACTCATAAAAGTTAATTCTCATTGAAAATACTATGATTAGTTCTTCATGTATACAGACCTACTTAACATATGAATGCAAATGATATAGGAACTACATATTATTTTCTTCTCTCCCTACATGTTTGTTTGTATTTTATTTTATTTTTAGAAACAAGGCCTTGCTGTGTCACCCAAGCTGGAGTGCCATGATCATAGCTCACTGTAGTCTTGAACTCCTGGGATCAAACAATCCTCCTATCTGAGGCTCCCAAACAGCTAAGACTATAGGCATGCACCATCACATCAGGTAATTTTTTTATTTTTCTGTAGAGAAATGGTCTTGCTAATTTGCCCAGACTAGTCTCAAACTCCTGACCTCAAACAATCCTCCTGCCTCAAGCTCCCAAAGTGCTGACAGATTATTTTCTTTCGAAATGCCCTAAGGGGGCATTTTTAACTGTTTTGAGTCTGTGAGTTATCAGAAAGAATGATTTCAAAGCTAGTTAACTTTGAAACTTTAAAACTAATATCGCAAGACTTGATAGGGAAAACAAATCTTTTGTCTGTATTGAAAACTACAATCTGAGTAGGTTCACATTAATTTCTAATGTAATTTGATTGTTGATTATTTAAATGGACTTGGCAATCATCCCTAACTATAGAACATGCTTATTTATTCAAGTCCTCAATGGCTTTAAATTAAAAAACTAACATTTATTTGATGTTTGCTAAGTGCCAAGAGGATTCTTGAATATATTCTAGTATATTATTACCCGTTTTAACCAGAACCAGGTTTCAAACTTAGGCAATTGCAGAGCCTAAAACTACCCTATTATTCAGAAATAATAAAACATCATGATTATTGTATTCTTTATGACAAATTCAGAAATAATTGATCTAAGAAAGGTATTTCTATCTTCTGCCCTTTTAACTACAACAAAAGGATTACACTGCAATAATCAGAAATAGAGCCATAAAACCCATATATGCAATAGACAGAAAAGAAAACATGATTACCCCCAGGAAAACATGGTCATCAAACTCACACAACCAGACAAAGTAGTTCCACTCTGTCTCCATTACTAGTTGGAAGTTAACATCTGCTTTACTATGAACATTCACAACAAATATTTATTGACTCCCACTACTTTAACTCAAAAGATCAAATACACAAAATAACTGTAGAAAAAGCTATTCAAAATATAATTTATGACAAAAGTTAACTTTCACCAAGAAACCTATTAAAAAAGAACTATGGTATGAAAGCTCTCTAAGATATGCTATGTATAAATGATGTCATGTGATATTGAAAATGCATTACACAGCCACACATACAACATAGGATGCATTTAGAAACATGCTGAAGCAGTAATAATGATTTTAAAAAAGAACAAAGCCATTCATTGAGAAACAAATAGTTTCATTCAACTGATGGTAGTATGGGTGAAGATATTCACAAAACTAAAATATTTTTCTCCTACTATCTTGATAAGATTTATCATGATGACAAAATAAAACATATGCAAACCTACTGGGAAAATGCCTATATAAATACACACTGTTAATGCTATTATTCATGGACAATAATGTCCAAATCTAACTGACTCTTGAACAACAGAGAGGGACAGACAGACGAGATCTTATTATGTTACCCAGGCTAGTCTCAAAGTCCTTGGCTTAAGGGATGCTCATGCCTCAGCCTTTCAAGTAACTGGGACCACAAGAATGAAGCGCCAAGTCCAGCTTTAACCAGCCCGATTACATAAACTCAAACACTGGCAAGAACTCCAGACTAAAGAAAAGCCTCTAAACATGAAAACAGAGGAAATTAAAAAAGGCTTTAACAGATTCTTAAGACCAGCTTAAAATTTTTACTTTGCAAAGAGAGATTATTACCCTTTTAAACCCCAAATTCAACTGCACAGAAAATTAATAACTACAGCCAGGCATGGTGACTCACACCTGTAATCTCAGCACTCTGGGAAGCGGAGGCGGTGGATTGCCTGAGCTCACAAGTTGGGGACCAGCCTGAGCAAGAGGAAACCCTGTCTCTAAAATATAGCCAGGTGTTGTGGCATGCACCTGTCGTCCCAGCTACTCTGGAAGATAAAGCAAGAGAATCACTTGAGCCCAAGAGGTTGATGTAGCTATGAGCTATGACACAACAGCACTCTAACAAGAGCAACAAAGTATGTTTTAAAAAAAAAAACAAAAACCTTTTTTTAGTAAATACTTAGATACAAAGTTCAACAAGGCTCGGTGCCTGTGGCTCAAGCGGCTAAGGCTCCAGCCACATACACCTAAGGTGGCGGGTTCGAATCCCCAGCCCAGGCCCACCAAACAACGATGGCTGCAACCAAAAAATGGCTGGGCGTTGTGGCGGGCGCCTGTAGTCCCAGCTACTTGGGAGGCTAAGGCAGGAG